AACATTTTTTCTTGCTTAAAATTACCATAAAAGGAAAATTTTTAACAAAACGGATGTGATCAGGAGAGAGTTTTTTTAATTAATTAAATTTTTTTATTACTGTAAATTAATAATTAATTAATGTTTTTTAAATTTTATAATTTTGAACTTTATAAAGTAAAATTTAAAATATACAATAATGTAATAATATGTAAAGTAAAAAAAAATAATAATTAAAAAAATTTTATTTTTTAATTTATAAAAATTATTTTCTGTTTACAATTAATTATGTTATTTTTTTTATATAATAAAAAATTTATATATACGTATTTAAAGTTTATTATGAGTCAATATAAATAAAAATAATCGGTTACAGATCGACATAGTGAGTTAAGTATTACTAATTTTATAAACAATTACGTAATCTCCATTGCAGGCGTCATAAGTATATTACTTTATATGTTCCAACCTTAATGGAAAATACACCAATCAATTTGATTGTTTTTGTAAAATAATAAAAGAGAGTGAAATGATATCATTCTGAAGTTTAAGATCACGTGAACAAGAATTAAAAGCGAAATCGAAAATTCTCTCCAACTCATTTTGGAAACTACAAGTATAGAAATTTCTACGTCGTATGTAGCCCTCTCCAATCAAGGATTGCTTGATTCAGGCGGTCTATTTGGAAGAGTGAGATTGCCACTGCTTACCTGCGGTCTATTTGGAAGAGTGAGATTGCCGCTATTTACCTGGTGGTCAATAACTCGTTCGATATAATGCTGATCAGCAATGCCAAGAAGCTATTTATTCAAACATTTCTGTCTGTATCTGAGAAAAAGAATTCTATGTGACGAATAATGTTTATTTTTTTGAAGATTTTTGGAATGAAGATATGATCGTTTAATGGTAATAAAGTAACAACACTAAAAATAGTGTTTCCCGTAGAAAAGTAATTTATGATCATATAAGTTCTCGTTGATCTCTATGGTGCATATCTCTACGCAGGAGATTGGCTCACGATGTTTCAAAAACAATAAGAAATTACCTTATATGTTAAGACTTGGTAATGTTTTTTTCTTTTGCAAATCGAGATAAACTGCGTACGTGTGACAGATCACATTTTCAAAAAAAATGCCGGACCTATAAAAAGGGTTGTCACAGTTATGTTGAATAGAAATTAGAAGTTTTTTATTCTATCGCTATCTAATCTTCACGACATCGGCTTTATAATAAGTTTTCAACCTATCGATCCGTTCAACATGAGGAAAGATAAGAAGTTTTTGGATTTACTCGGACGTTCGCCTCCAAAAGAATCGGTTTTTGACGTCGTGACAATAGCAAGTGACGTTGAACAAAATGAGCACTCCTCGGATTTGACAAATACATCGGATACTATCTCTGAAAGCAGTGAGTTCAATTTGAAAATAACAACTTCAGCATCGCATCTCCAAGGCCCTGCTGAACTAAAAATGTGCGACGTATGTTTCGGCGAGTTCAAGACGATATATGATTTGTCGTGCAATCATAAGTTTTGTTCTGGATGTCTCCGCAATTTCTTCTTGGAAGCAAAAAATCCAACATTCATTCTTCCGGTCAGATGTTGTAATAGAGAGGTTAACATGGATTATGCAGCTTTAGTACTTAAACCTGAGGAATTCCAGCAAATCTTTCGAAGGATAAGTAACGCGTCATATCGTCTATTCTGTCCAACTCCTGGGTGCGAGAATCCGATTCACGTGAATGAATCTTTCACCAGTGATCCATCTTCAAATATCACATCACCACCGCCAACGCTAATTCTACACGAGACTCCAGGAATTCTTAAATGCCCAAGTTGCAATAAAGAAATTTGTGTAAGATGTCGGTCGCACGCACATCCTGGTAAAAAGTGTTGGAGAGGCCAAAACGAGAAAAAATTCCGCCGGATAACAAAGTTGCGTGGATGGAGGCAATGTACTGCATGTGGGATTTTTGTAGAGCGAAGGGGGGGTTGTAAAAATATTCATTGTCCGTGTGGGAACTCCTTTTGTTATCATTGTGGTAAACATATATGTAGATGCATTTTCGGTAGAGGTTGGGTGAGAACTGTAAAACAAAAATTCTGGAAGGTTATTGGATTCTAAATAACTTTATTGGGAGGGCAATTTTTTTTTTTTAGAAAGTGAACAATCTAATAAACTTCGATTCAAGTAACACGTGATCGAAGATCTATAGATGGAAATGATCTAAAATCATCGTCATAAAAAAGCGGCTCAAAATGTAAAAAACCGTTTCTCGTTTTTCGCTATAACCATGTCTTCTATCGCTACAAAGATTGCCACCGCTACAGTCAATCGGACGTACATTAACGCACCGTACTCTTACGTTTCGATAAAGAGACTGTTCGAGGTTTCAAATAATTACCGTCGTGATCCTCCTGCTAATCTTAATCCCTCCTGGGCTGTTGGTGTACAGCGACGATCCGACGGTTCGATTCTCTCGAAAACCGCCGCTAATGGTAAGTCAACATTTGGATCCAGGTTCTCTTAAAATGTGTTGTCACCGGAAAGAATTTAAATTGAATTATGTTTATTCCTTCAAAAATCTTTCCATAAACATCTCAAATAATTTAACTTGAGAAAGCTGCACCCTCCATCGGTATCATTCAGAAGCGTCAACTATCCTCTATTCCTGCCGTGGATTCTGGTAGATCAACAGTAGTTCCAGACTTCTCCGCATACAGGAATAAGAGTGACGCTTATGCTAGTCGTACATTCGCCTATTTAATGGTCGGCACTACTGGCGTAATAACCGCTGCAGGGACTAAAGCTTTGGTTACTGATTTTCTCGCAAATTTAAGCGCATCGGCTGATGTACTGGCCTTGGCAAAAGTTGAAATAGATTTATCCAAAATTCCAGAAGGGAAGAATGTCACTATTAAATGGCGCGGAAAACCAGTTTTTATTAGACACAGGACACCTAGTGAAATTGCTGAAGCAAGTTCAGTCAAATTAAATGAACTCAGGGATCCACAGAGTGATGCTGACAGGGTTAAAAAGCCTGAGTGGTTGGTTATGATTGTGAGTAGGAACATTGCGAATTCGTTTGTTGTATATATTTTTTATTGATGGCAATTTACTTTTTTTTTTTCCACAGGGTGTGTGTACTCATTTAGGTAATTAATGATGTCGAAAATTTCTTTTTTTATGTTCACGAATAAAAACGCTTGAATTTATCTTATATTGATATTTTAATTTAACCAGGTTGCGTTCCAATTGGAGAATCTGGGGATTACGGTGGTTGGTATTGCCCATGCCACGGTTCACATTATGATATATCTGGCAGAATCAGGAAAGGCCCTGCTCCACAAAATCTCGAAGTTCCCGCATACGATTTCGAGGATGATCAGAAGTTGATTGTTGGATGATCATACTTGATTCAAAGTGGATCCCACTATGAAATCGTTTCAGTAATTAAAGACATTTTCGTGGGATCATTAAACACATTCCTTTTTAGATTTTAGAATTCTTTAAGCATTGCCCTAAAAATATTACTTATGATCTCGATTGTACCAATGTCTGATTTCCATACAGTTCCGCTGCACGATGGATCCAGAGGTTTATTCTATTACATTAGTAAGTTTCATAAAACAGTGGCATGTAGTATGTTAATATATATCTAATTTATAATTTAAGTTTTGTCGCGATATTTGAAAACTATGTACACAATTCATAGCTCGAATTATGGAATGTATAATTCATCGTCGATTTCCCATTTGCTTCATCATATTCTGCATCTGACTTAGATCTGGCATACCGCCTAATCCACCTCCGCCCAACCCATTCATCTACGAATAAAAAAACTTGTTATAAAACTGGAAAATCCAACAAATCACTTTTTCTTAAATTGAATGCTAACCATTTGACGCATCATATTGTTCATGTTCATACCGGCCATACCACGAGGAAGCATCTATTTGAGTAAATTGTTGAATCGTCACTGGATTAAATTAAAGGAATGTCAAAATGAATATAGGGACTCTATTACTATACCCTTTGCATCTGTGCCATTTTCTGTTGCATTTGCTGAGGAGACATTTTCGAAGTATCCATCCCTGGACCTGCACCACCTGTGATACAGAAATGTATTATTTTCTTTCTGACGTGTAAACTTAATGATATAATAACAATAATTCGATTACCTTTAAGAAATCCTTTACCAAATTTCTTGACCATTCCTTGAAATACCTTGTGTTGATCCAAAAGCTCTTCCACTTCTCTTACGGAAGTGCCAGAACCTCTAGCAACACGCTGTATACGGATGGGTTTTTGATAAAAAATTTTACCTTCTGAATCAAGTTCAGATTCACTCATACTATCCATAATTGTCATTAACCTACCCAAGAAAAATAGAAAAATTCAGAAAACAGACGAAAACTTTCTCAAATATAAGATCGTCTGGGAATAATTGACAAGAAACTAGCCTTTTTATTCGCTGTGCGCCTAATTCATCGGACCCTTCAAAATTCATTTCTGACATGCCGGGCATCATTTGCATCATTTTTGAAAGTGGTCCCATTTTAGATATGTTTTGAAACTGCTCGTACATATCTCTTATGGTAAAGATTCCTAGAGGCAGCATAAAATGATTCGAAATTTTCTTCACATATCACATATTCAAAATTATTCATGATAAAGTAACAAACCTTGTTCTAAGTTTTTCATTAAATTCTTATTCTGATCTAATTTTAAATCTTGCACTGTTTCCATCAGACCAGAAATGTCTCCCATCCCTGAATTTAGAAATAATCTAATATTAATTCAGGAATATCAATACGCTTTCTAAAACCTTAAATTTTTATATACCTAGCATTTTTTGAACAAATCGTCTAGGTTCAAACCTTTCTAAGTCGTGAATGTGTTCACCAGTACCGATAAAAATAATAGGACTATGCGTCGCTGCCACACTATGAACGCAACAATAGTAAATAGATATACCTTTTTTTGATCACATTCCTATAGAAATCTTACGCTGATATAGCCCCACCACCTTTCGCGTGACCGTCCATCTTAGTTATAATAATAGAACCAATATCTGCTGCCTCATGGAAAGCTCTAGCTTGAGCTTCGGCAGCTTGTCCGATTGTTGCGTCCATTACAAAAATGGTATTATCTGGACTCTAAATATTTATTAGCCCGTGTGATGAAAATGCGATATAAAATTAAAAATTCTTACCACCACAGAAGAAATCTGTTTCATTTCCTCAAATAATTCGAACTCTTGCTTATGCCTACCAGATGTATCAACAATTATTATTTCGAAATGTTCCTTTTTAAATTTTTCTACACCTTCATGAGCTATTTGAACAGGGTCCGTTTCCGTGTAACTAACAAGAATTTTTTATTAATCCAAGAATAGTACGCTAAGTGCTTAATATTGTTATCTACCTTCCATAATATGGTATCTTAGCTTTGGTTGCATTCTGTTTCAGTTGATCAAATGCGCCAGCACGAAATGTATCAGCGCACACGAGGCATACTTTCCATCCTTTACGTTGATAATGGTACGCCAGCTTAACGAAAGAATTTAATGAATTTTTCATGTCCCGAAAGAAAATAAATATAATCTGAAATCATACTTTTGTACAAGTCGTCGTTTTACCGCTACCTTGCAAACCGACGAACATGATGATGTTGCATGCACCCTTTTTTGGCTTGAATGGCTCGACACCTGGTTCGACAAGCCGACAAAGTTCATCAAGAACCGCCTGATCATGCCATAATTTAAAAATTTAGTAAAAAACCCACAAATCACATTATAGATTATAAATAAGCCAATAATACCTTTTGTATGACTTTCCGTTTATTTATCCCTGCAGCTAGATCTTGGATGTTCACGGCAGTTTTTACGTTATTTCTTAAACTCCCTACTAAGCGAACATTTACATCGGCCTCCAAAAGTGCATGGCAGATTTCTTTTAACAATGCATCGAGAACCTTTGTAAAGAAAAAAATTGAGTTTCAAATGATCATATTTGCTGGCAAGCAAGATCCAAAAGCATACTTTAGCGTCGATGACTGGTTCTTTGTTAATTTGGGCTAACGCCGCATTAATGCGACGACCAAGATCTGCTAAAACCATACTAAATTATGTTTCTGTAAAAAAAGAAAAAAAAAGTTATCTGACGTGTTAAATTTGTTCGGGTCATATGATATATTGCAAAGTAAATATACTAGATTTTAAAAGGTTTTTAATTAACTTGTATACAATTTGTCTTTGGAATTAAAAATAAAAATATTAATAGTTAATTGATAGTTTTAAATTTTAATAAAGTTCTATTATAATAAATTATTTATATTAATATAAAAAAGAAATAATTAATTTATATTAGTTATATAATTTTTATACAAATTTTATATATTTAATTAATAATATTATTATTCTCTTTTTTATATTTGAAAATTTTTTGTTTACTTTTTATTTTACTTTATTTATTTATTTATTTTTTCTTTTATATATATAGTATATTATAAAACTTTTTGAAATTTTTATAAAAAAGATATAATAATATTGTTATTATGTACTAATTAATTTTTAGATTTATTTTATTTAAATTTATAAAATTATAAAATTTTATATTTTATTTTTAATTTTATAAAAAAAATTTTTTTAAAAAAGTAAAAAATCTATAGATTAAATTATTAAATTTTAATAATTTTAATGAAATTTTTATTAGTAATCAATTTTTAATACTTGAAAAATTTAATTTTAAAAAAATTTTTTTTTTTTTAATCCCACAATCAGATTGGTGTCGTTTATTTATTAATCATAAAGAACCATTACAAGTTGAGAATCCATGTAAAGTATAAATTTCCCCGACCCAACTCACCCATCTTTAGCCGAAGCCTCTAGATGCGATTTATGGGGATGATAATGTTGTTCTCCTAGTGGATGGAATTAAGATTCCGAATTTCCAGCAGGATCAAAACCTGCAGATCACCTCTACAGTTACAATAATAAATCCAAATTGTGTCACCTCTCTCTTGTAGTAACTACGCAAGAGGAAAAAGGAATAAAAAAGGAATTTTTTAAACAAAAGAAAAGAAAAAAAACTATCATTTATTCTAACTATCATTGAAGAGGTTATCTCTGTAAACTTCAAAAACCCAAGCCCCTCATGATACCTCACTTCTTA